CATGTCGTCGTCTTCCTCGGATACGTCGTCTTGTACAGCGTGGCGATGAGTTCCTCATCGCTCAGCGTCGCTTGGTCTGATGGCGCGGCTCGCAGCAGGCGAAGGCGTCGACTGACGAGGCCTCCTTCTGCCGCGGCCTGGATGACCGACGGCCGCGCCTCGGAGGACGCGGCCACTCGTCGGTTGGTTTCGCTTGCGGAACGGCTGGAAAAACGCAGAATACCCAGTAGCAAGGCAGTAGTAGGAATTTCTACCCGCCTTGGAATGTGGAATTAATTTATTCCAATTCGTGCCGCTCCCAGTAGCAAGGCAGTAGTAGGAGTTCCCACCCGCCTTAGAATATGGAATTAAATTATTCCAAGGTCGTCGACTACACTCTTCATTCGTCGACAGTTTTTGTTGCAACGAAAGGGACGAGACATGTGTTGAAAGAAGGGAGTTTCGAGACAATCCACACTCAGTGATCCACACTGGTTTATGTGAGGTTTTTGACGCATGGACAAGCGGAGGGCATGCGAAATTTCGTGCTCGGAAATGGACGACGAAGAGCTCTACGAGGGCTGCCAACTCAAAGATGATCCGTGCGGCTTGTGCTTGCGGACCCAACACATCCATAGGCATCAACGAGAGCATCAGCCATGACACGCGTCGTGGCTGCGGTGGTGGGTTGTCTGGTTTGGACAGTGACATTATTGCTCGTCAAGTTGCGCATTGTCGAGATGGGGTGTCTCATAGCTCACGAGCTTACGTGCTCGACGACCGGCGTAAGCTTTTGAAGCTTGGTTCGCCGACGCTTACCAAAGGTTTTGCCGTCGTGAGCATCTGGTAATGGATGCAATGCCAATCCGATGAATGCAGCGGCAACAACCACCAGCACAACAAACGTCGACCGGCAGCCATCGACTAAATAGTGCGAGGGCTTTGTCCTTGCCATTCTGCTGGCTTGGCCATATGTAGCCCTCTCAAATTGCCTCAGCGACGATCAAGAGAGCTATGTGTGTGGCGACCGAACGCACCCGTCGAGCCGCTTCGTGACGACGACGATGACGAAAGCCTTGGATTTCCACATGCAAGCAAATCGCGACAAAGATATAGTCCGAGCCTCCAGCGACGTCACTTCGACGTCTCTCCTCATTTCAGCATTTTGCTTGAGCGACCTCGCTGGTACAATGTCGCCACTGCCGGTGCGATGGACGCTTCTCGCACTGGTCAGCCTCCTCGGCACCGCGGCTGACAGCACCATTGGCAACGTGCCCACCGACGCTGCGTACGGGCCCATCGACGCGGTCTACACGTGGGTTAATGGCTCCGACCCGCGCTGGCAACGGGACAAGGCCGCGTGGCATGCCAAGTGGCGGCGCGAGCACCACGAGCATTCCACGCTACTGACGTCGGACGAGAACCGGTTCCGCGACAACGACGAGCTTCGGTACTCGATTCGATCGCTGTACCAGTTCGCGCCGTGGATCCGCCACGTCTACATCGTCACGGACGGCCAAGCGCCGGCATGGCTCGACCGCTCCAACCCCCACGTCAGCATCGTGCCGCACGCGTCGTTCTTTCGCAATGCGTCGCATTTACCAACGTTTGCGTCCCCGGCGATCGAAGCCAACCTCGATGGGATTCCAGGTCTCTCCGAGTACTTTTTATACCTGAACGACGACATGCTTCTCGGTGCCCCGGTGTCGCCCGACGACTTTATGAGTCGCAGCGGTACACAAAACATCTACCTCGCGTGGAAGGCGCCAGCGTGCAGCCCCGACTGCGCCAACTGGATGCTCGGTGACGGCGTGTGCCACCGCGCTTGCAACACGGCTGCCTGTGGGTTGGACCACGGCGACTGCACCTGTGCTTCGCCACCCGTGGTATACCGCGCCGTCCGTCCTTCGAGTGTGTTTTGATGATGGATCATCGATGTAGGTGGCCGACGACTGGACACCGATTTGTTTGGAGGTTGAACAGCCTCGTAGCACTGGCTGCGCGCCGGGCTGCGACTGGAGATACCTCGGTGACGACCACTGCCAGGCGCACTGCAACGTGGCCGAGTGTGCTTTCGACGCTGGCGACTGCGACCCTGCCGCGCTTGATCTCTTGCCGCGCGTGGCATTCAACGCCTCGGTCGACGCCGCTGCCGTGCTTTTGGACAACCACAGCGCGGTGCTGGTTGTCGACGACGTGTTGTCGGTCGAAACCGAATCCAGCGCGTTCGTCCAGCACGCGGCCGTCCTCCGCTCGCGCCTCTTTCTCTTCTTCAATCGTACCGTGACCGAGACGATTGCCGAGGCAGTAGTGACTCCACGGGGCACGGCCACACAGACGCGACTGCATGTCGTGCCACACGGCGTTGCGCTGGGGACGCAAGGCTACGCCTTTACGCGCTCGCCGCCGACGCGCCGTATTGATCTCGCCGCGGCCAGCATCTCGCCAGCGTTCCAGCCGCCGCACTTGGACGCGACCATCTATGTGCCGTTTGCATCGCTGCCCGATTGGAGCGGCGATACGCACTTTACGGTTGACGACGGACCGGCCATCGCGTGCCCGGCCATTGACGCGCCGTCGTCGTCTGCTGTGGCTCCAGCCGAGAGCCACTGTACGCTCAACGCGTCGGGCGTACTGCTGCATGCGCGGGTGTCTGGCAATGCGACGCGTGCGAGCGTCTGTCTCTTCAACGCGGATCGCAGCAGCTGCATTGTGTACAGCGCGCATCGTACTGTACTGGCGCCGACCGCGAATACCATGGAGCACTACGCTTTGCCCAAGACGACACACGAGTGTCACTGGTGGACATGGTGCAACGCAGCGTACGCGACGCTGGCAGATAGCTGCACGACGGCCTCGACCAAGGCGCTCATGGCCAAGGACCCGTCGGCCGCCAAGGCCAAGGCCATGACGCTCTGTACTCGCTTTGGCGCCACTCACGGTCCACTGACACGCAACACAACGCAGCTCCTTCGCGACAAGGTACTCTATCTCTGGTTGCACATATCGACTGACGCGACGGCGTCATATAGATGTGCCGCATCATGCACACGAAAGATAAACAGCCATTTTGGCTCGACCCGTGTCCACCGAGAGCTGCGGACGCGGAGATGACGTTCCTCGATCCGTTTGGGGACTCGCTCAAGCACGTCAATGCACTCTTTGACGCTGCGTTTGGCAAGGCGCCGCAGCCACGCCGCGTGCCATCGCACATGCCGTACTTTATCCAGAAGCGGCTGCTCGCGGAGCTCAAGGCCCACTGGCCGGTGCAGTTTAACACGACGTCGGCACACCGGTTCCGGCATCCAAAGGACATGCAGTTTAGCTTTGCCTACATGCACTATGTGGCGAACCGCCGGCTCTTGCACCCGCCGAAGTCGGCCAGCGAACTCTTCTCGAGCCACATCGACATCAACCAGAACGGGCACCTCGACGCGTACGAGGAGCGCAACCTCATCGGACTCTTCCCCACATTCTCGCACGCGATGCTATTGGCGCTGCTTGACGACTGCCGACGAGCGGCCAACGTCTCGTCCGCACTGCCGCTGCGACTCATTGCGGTGCACTGCCCCGGCCTCGAGCGGCGTTTAAGCCAAGTAAACGCGGCGATGCTACCGCCGACACACCGCCGCATGTCCGAAGAGCAAGTCACGTTCTTAATGCTTGGGCGGTCCATGACCGACTACGTGCAGCTGTACCGAGCCCGGTCGCGCCGCACCAAGTTTGTGTGTGTGAACGACGACATCACAAGCCCATCGCCTGTGGTACGACCTCCTCGAGCTCTTGCAGTCTCGTTGGCTCATACGACGAGTAGCTTCGCGCGATGCTGCGCGATTTTTTCGAGCTGCGCTGGAGCACGCCTTCGCCCATGGAGCGCCCGGCCGACGTCGCAACGCAGCAGCACACGGTCTCCGAGAAGCGCCGCTTCCAACCCACGAACCAGCTCCACCAAGAGGTGGTCGATAGCACCTTTGTTTGGCCATACGAACTCGTCGTTGTTGGCGTGGCGATTGGGTCCGTCTACTACGGTATCGCATCGATGCGGTGGCAGAATCGCTCGTATACCCCCTTGCGTCCACTGTGCTAATGAATCGCGTGTGGACTCTCGCCTTGCTTTCGCACCACACACGTGAAATATCGCACTTGTGTGCAGAGCGGTGAACGGGTCCTTGGTCATAAAAATGCTTCACAGAGACGCCGGACAACCCTGCCAGCGCCGTCGCGTGGTCTACTCCAACAGCAATACTGGTACTTCCTAATCCCCGCGCTTATCCGTTGGGCTCGAGATATGTGCCACGCTATACTTCTACAATTGTAGGACGTTGGCGAATGACGTCAGGGGCGTCGGCGCCGAGCAGACCTTGGCTCTCATCATCACGTAATGCATTACACGCAGATGTAGGAAAGTAGAGGCTTGGCACCGTCGTGTGTGCAGCGCTCTACTCTACGATCGGCGCCATGTCGACATCCCCTGCCCGCTGCTATGAGCGCGCCGACTCGTTCGGGTCCAACCTCGTTATCTCGCCCGTGCCCGAGCTCTCAGACGCAGACGAGAAAGCGGCCGATACGGCGCTGGTCGCGACTGCGTACCGGTACAAGAAGGCGACGATTATCGTCGCGACGTGCGTCGTCGGCCTCGTCGCTGGTGTTATGATTGCGGTTTTTGCATCGAGCGGCGGGAAGGATGCCAGTCTCGGCGCAGGCCATCTTGCTGTACGTCCTTCACATTGTATTCTAAAACGGGGCCTACCGGAACTTGTAGGCGCAGAATCCGTGGCCCACGACCGCCGTTCATATCCTTGCAAAGACCAATGACGATAGCAATCGAACCATGTTCACTTAACGACATGTTGTTGTTGTTGTATCCAACATTTGCGTCTCCATCGCGCTCGCGCTCGTTGCCACACGACAACGCATTAGCACCAAACATTTATTCAATGAATGTCACGACATCAAAACAATCAATGTAGAATGCACGCATTCTCATTGCCTACACTTGAAACGTTGCCTCATTGGTCGCATTTTTCTCCTCCAAGAGGATGTCCTTGATCGTCGCGACGCTCCAAAGGTCCTTGTTGAGGTTGAGAAATAGCTTGCGCTCGAGGATCTCCGGCGTCGTCTCCTCGCGATTGTCGGGCAGCATGTAATGACACTTGCGGAGCAAGCGCTCGACGGAATTGCTCGTCGCAGGGAGGTAGCTGAGGTCTTCGTACATGGTCGTACTGGCGCGCGCCTCTTCAGCAAGGATCTCTTCGACGAGCGTCATCTCCACACGCGTCGCGGGAGTCTCGTCAGCCGCATGCACCTTGAATGGAACCATGGCCGTCGCCTCGGCCGCTGTGAGCGACGACTCGGCGCCGGTCAAGATCTTGACGACGCCGTTCTCAAAGTCGCTGTACTTGACAATGTCGTCAATGTCGCGATGCAGCTGCGCAAAGTGGGCCGGGAACCTGGCGAGCGTCTTGTCGAAGACAGTACGGACCTTGGCAAGCGTGATTTTTGAGCCCTGGAGGTACGTCGTGATGGCATCAAAGTCCGATAGCGCCCGCAAAGCATCGTTGAGCTCGTCCTCTTCGCTGGGCGTGAGAACGTACGGCTGCATCTCGGGGATCTCGCTGATGTACGGCTTGAGCTCGAGGTAGCGTTTCACCATCGAGAAGGTGGAGGACGTGGCGTTCGTCCGCGTAACAGCCAGCAGAGGCCGCTTGTGCGCGGCCGTCATGACCTTGATGAGGCGGCCGCTGTTTTTGAGCGTCCTGAGCTCGTGCATGAGGCGGTTGACCTTGGCAAGCACCGGCTCGAACTTCTCCAAGACGCAGCCCGTGACGCGTTTGAATCGGTGGCTCGCGCAGCCGATGAGAGGTGTCTTGAGGGACTTGGCAAGGGCGACGTTGGTCGCGCCGTTGTCACCGCACAAGAAGAGCACGTCGTTTGCGCTCTTGGAGTAGTACTCGCCAAGAATAAACTCGAGATGCGCCGCGTGCGCGTCTGCCGTGAACGAGGCCCCGTCCTCGAATGGCGCCAGCGAGAGAAGACGTTCTCGGCGGCATGTCTTGCCCTCCAGAACCACGGGGTACGCAGCGACGATGGCGAGATAGTGCGTTGAGCGCTTCGACCAGCCATCAAAGAGGAGGCCAAACTTGTTGGGTAGTTCGTCCTTGATCGCCGCCTCGACACGCTTCGTGACCAAGCCAAAGTACTTCATGAGCGTCTCGACGGAGATAGGTTCAAACCGAGACATCGCGCGGACCACCGGGTCCTCAACCGCGGAAAAAGGCTGGTTGGTCATGATGATGAATTCGAGCCAGCCGTAGAGCGCGCTCGTGGAGGATGGGACAGATCTCGTGACCATCAAGCTCTGCGGAAGCGTCGCGAGGTGCTCCGAGAAGCGCTGTTCGTAGTCCGGGACGCAGGTGGAGAGGTGCTGCATGAGGTTGCCGTAGCCCGCACGCGCCGATTGCACGTAGGTGTTCTTGCACTGCTTGCACTGGAACGACTCCGACTTGTCCTCGACGGGCTCGTAGAAATGACTGCAAATGGCCTTGGCACGACCCCTTGGGCCCCTGGGCTTGGTGGAGCTCTTGGTGGCCATGTCGCAAAATGAAATTAGACGCCAGAAAAGACACGAAAGGCCTTTCTATTGGTCGAATGGCTGGCTGCCAGACAATGTTTACATTCATTGCAGCCTTTTCAAGTATTAAAATAAAATCATCTTGATCTGAGTTGACCGTACTGAGTGGCCCATGCTTCGTATAATGTTTGGAACGGTAAACAAGGTTCCTTACAGTATCAGTGGGAAATGTAAAAAATGCGTTCATTGGCAAAAATGTTTCGGAACCCAGGAATCAACGAGAGCTCGTACAGTAGACTGCACGGTCTTTGAGCTTCTCACTTCCTTCTTGACATCCATGGGCATCGCCAAGTTCATTTCGCGGTACCTTCCGCCCTTCTACGTCTTCTTCGTCGCGCCGCTCATTGGCGGCCACTCGGACCGGTCGTACTCGTCGTGGGGTCGGCGCAACAAGAACCTCCTCGTTGGCACCGTGCTCATCGTCGTTAGCGTGCTCTTGTTACGAGTGGGAGCTCGGCCCGAACGCGATGCGCACCGAGGTGCTCCACACGCTCGCGGCCGCGAACCTCCAAGACAACATCGCCGTCTTGCCTCTGCCGTACCTCTCGCCGACGCTCTATTTCCGCTGTGCGGTCTTTCTCCTCAAGTTTGACGACCTCGACCGGACGCAGTCGGCCAACTCGATCGCCGAGCACTACGACGACGGCAACGCGCTCTTCAAGGCCTTCCTCGACGACGACATGGTGTACACGAGGGCGAGCTGGGACGGCCTCCCACCCAACGCCTTGCTCCGCGACGCCCAGCGCCACAAGGTCTAGCGCATGGTAGGCTTACTAGTACGGTCAGCCTCATGGCATGCTGTGCGGTGTCTCTGACACCCTACAACGCGCAGCGTACTTGCACTGCACACGCTACAGAGGTCGACCAGCAAGCTGCGCGTGTTTGCGCTTGCCCAAACCTTGGCGCCTGTTCTTGTTTGCTTGGCTGCATCGGGTTCACCCAGGTATTCGGTCATCCTCCGTAGCGCGGGATCGTATGCATGGCCTCTGGCGTGATGGGCCTCGTTCGACAACCCGCTTCTAGGACGATCGCTTCGCGCATACCTTCCTGGGCGTCGTCGGAGCGCCATCGCATGCCACCGGCATGTCTCGTCGGCCGCGTCGGTCGCCGGCCACGTGTGTGGTGATCTTCGTCCGGATTCGTATCCGGTAGCTTCTTTGGCCGACGCGAGTTTTGGCCAATCAGCACGTCGCATCGAAAAATAGGGCCAATCGCGCGAACGCACGGCTATTTCGAGAATACAAATTCCAAGTGAGTTCTCCCCCCGTGGCTAATTATATGGGGCTTTCCGTTTCAACTTTTTGACTTGGAGTTTGTATCGGAATGGATCGGCATTTTCCATTTTGACGTCGCCGAGGTAGACATCGCCCATGGTATCGATCGGGAGCTCATGCGCCGCAGGAAGCGCGGAAGATGGCCCGCAATGAGAATCCCTTCGACATGCAGATCAAGCTCCTCATGATCGGCGACAGCGGTACGAGGAGCATGGCGATCCTGCGCGAAGATCACACGGCGTATGTATAGGCGTCGGCAAGACGTGCTTGCTCCTGCGCTAC